AGCCAACTACGCAACAACCAGTCATTTTCTGCAAAACAAACACATAAATAAATTTGCAATTATTCTATCAAATTGCTAACAGAAGGTTAGAATGTCATTTTTTGTTGCACAGTGTCTGTACATACCTATTTTTCTATCATAGGTTTTATGTCCAATTTCTCCACTTCTGAATAAGTTATAGATAAGATACAATATATGTTTTTATATATTTCTTCAAAGAATAGCTATCGGGAGATATAAGGAAATCGGCCTTATACGATATAGAATACGATATATATAGTAACTATCGACGCCATTTTGTTTCAGATTAAACATTGGCCAGACTTTTATTTCCAGGGACTCTATGGCTAGTCGCGTATCTTCGCAATGAGAGGCACGAGATCCGAGAAAGGGAGACGCACGAAGTTCAAATATGGGCATAGATACGCAGGCGCAATTATCAGCTCTACTCATCGCTCGCCGCTGCTCGCTGCGTACCGCCGAATAGCGCCCGATCGCAAGAAACTGAGTCGTCCGCGCTTGTTTGTTTACTCCGCCTCTTGTTACTAAGACATTACATGAGAGAAGCAATTTTTCTTTTCATCTGATAGTCGTGCACGCCTATAGAGTCCGATCATCGCTCCCCGCGCCTTCATTGGTTCACATTTATTAATTCATATCTCAATAAATATTGCGAATTTTGCAAAATCGTATATAACTTTTTTGTTTAGAATGACCCGATCTACCTACACACGTTGGCTTTATAGTTTGTTGTCAGACACCCTGTATATATGTGATTGATAGAATAGTAGTAAAAAAGTGGGGATAAAATAATAGTGGGAGTGAAGAAGAGTGAAAGAGATTAAAGGGTGATGGTAGGTTAGGTGGTATGAAACAATAGGCCCTGATCCCACCACAGACATTGATAGACAGAGAAAGACTTACTATTCAAAATTCAAAGTATGTTGTCTCTCTCAACGTTGAAGGCATCTTTTCAGCCATACGCGCAGTCTATATATTATAAGTCTATGATCTGTACAAGCTGACAAAAGTTTTTGCGACCGACCTAGTGGTCTCGTGGCCTGAGTGCAGGGGCTGCGAACCTGGAGGTCCCGAGTTCGAATCCGCTCACTACCTAAGGATTTTTTCCGGGCCGGTCTCTTTCAACCGAGTTTATCGGTTGATTGGCGAACTGAATCGGACCTTCAAAAATTAATTCGGGTGTAATCCCGAATTAATTTCCCTCCCACAAGGCGATCGTAGTCATACCATCTTGAGCACGAAGCCGACACAGATGGGCACGCCCACTGTGAAAGACGGCCGTGTATCGCGTGTAGTAGGTAAAAACTGCACACCCCCCCCCCCACATTCGTTCTGAGAATATATATTGATAGACTGGCGTTTGCTCCTCTCTCGCAGGGGCGTGAGCCATATAAGCAAAGAAGAAGTACATAACTAGTAACAAAAATAAAAATCGAAGACTGGCGTATGCTCCTTCCTCACCGGGGCAAGAGCCTGTTATGTTTTGCTTTTATACTGCGTGGACAGGTTAGCGAGTAGTACACAGATCACTGCTTATTCGATGAAAAACTCTTTATTAATTAGATTATACATATAAGAAAAAACCGCGAAGAAGAAGAAGATACATAGCGCGCAGTGCCGATAAGATAGAACGTGACAACGAGTCACGTGACCTTAGGAGCGTGTTCTCAACAGGAGGCCCGCTTAGGCCCACAGGCACTATACACAACAGAGCCATTACAGCAAAGAAGAAGAAGAACTGACAAAAGTTGGCGCTGTATTTAAATATCTTGCAGCGCACGCGTTTGCGCGCTCTACGAATCAATAGGACGCCAGAGACTCTTTTATTTGCTTGGAAATCGAACACTCGTGTTTTTGAGAGATATTTAAAAACCTCGAAGGAGAGAGACGGCAATGTGATGGTGGAAAATTGTTAGAATTTTATTGGCTCTGTAAGTATCCCAGCATAAATGTTCAAGAAATATTCTAAAACTGAATATTCTCTGGTGGATATTGCAAAATCTAATCAGGCAGATATTTTGAGAAATCGCGCGCTGTGCGTGTGGAGTATTGTAAAAATTAGAATAACTGTGTTAGTGGAATTATAATTGGATGATATTGTTTATTTGTAATAACTCGATTATATTCTTAAGATAACAGTACAAAATTATATCGTGTCTTATCTTTCAAAACAAGCAT